TGAAAAACGTGTCAGACAATTTTAATGCAAAATTTTATGTTCTTTTAGAATATGCAATGAAAAATACTACATTTCATTTAAAAAAAACAAAGTTGACCTTCAATTTTACCTTCATCAAAAACTCAAGCCCACCATCTTGTGTCCCCCTCCGAACCCTACAACTTTTGTCTGAAACATTTTTTTCTAAACTCAACAGCGTTTGAAATATTTGCCTGGCTAGATTAAAATGAAACACACTGTATACTTATACACGTATATACAAATATTATATACGTATATATGTATATAAAAGATGTTTAAAAAACCATTCAATATTTGTATGATAGATAGTATACATTATACTGACAAGAAGAGTGTTTCAGTTGGGAAACGCAAATCATAACCAAACTTTAATAGTGTGTAGGGGGAGGTCTCCTGAGTACATACGTAAAATATAGGTGTAGATGGCCAGCCATTTAATAATAATTGACAAAAAAAGATTGTAGTATTTATTATAAACCAGTGCAATAAGACTAAAGTTTTAAAGCAGTGCGTAGCAGCGTGGTAAGACATCATTTTACCAATCTGCTGACCCAAATTCGAACCTCGATGCTGGTGGTATTTTTCTTTTTTTATTATTTATAAGAACAAAATAGAAAATAAATATAAAATAATATTTATTTTATTTGAGTGCGAAAAAGGCATTAAAAAAAATTAATAAATTTTTAAATAAGCAATATTAATTGATTTTTTATAGAATTATTGACTATTTAAAAATGTATTAATTTTTTAATGCCTTTTTTGCACTCAAATAAAATAAATAATATTATATTTTTTATGTGATTATTTTCTATTTTGTTATTATAAATAATAAAAAAAAATGCTACCAGCATCGAGATTCGAACTTGGATCAGCGGATTGGTAAGCAGATGTCTTAAGCCCGTGTCACACTACGTATTGCGGACGCGGATCGAATTGGGATTGCGGATCGCGGATCGGAATTCAGCCAATCAAAACTCTTATGCCTCGTCTTGATTGGCTGAATTCCGATCCGCAATCCCAATCCGATCCGCGTCCGCAATACGTAGTGTAACACGGGCTTTATCACGCCGCTACGCACCGCTTTGAAATTTTAGTCTTATCACTTGTTTATAACGAACACTACAATTTTTTTTTGTTAATTATTATTGAATGACCAGCCATCTACACCTAATATTTTACGCATGTACTCAGGAGGCTCCCCCCTACACACTATTAAAGTTTGGTTATAATCTGTGTTTCCCAACTGATTGTGAGACTCTCCTTGTGAGTAAAAAAACCTTAGTAAACATAAGTCAAAAGTTCAACCGTTTCTGAGATATAAACATTTTTGAATGTTAGCATCATGATTGACTTACTGTCTTCTATCGCATACGACGTGAGAAGAAGATAATCTGTCCAAATCTCTATCTCGATATTTACAGAAGGTGTTCCACATGTCCTCTTTCCATTTCCATACACGCTCGGCATCTTCTTTTTACAGAATCACAAACTCAAAAATTCCAGATCTCTGTCGAATTATTTGAGAAGCACGCTGGATTCGATCACATAATTCTTTTAAGTCATTTATCAGCGAAGAATACACTGTGCTTTTCAAATATCTCCATAAAAAAAGTCGAAGAGATTTAACCCTAACTCGTCATACCGGAGTACGACGCCCAGTGCGATTTTTCACATTGCTATAAATTTTTTTTAACCACTTCAGTGGTAAACCTTTCCGAAGAGTTTGTGCCAAAAGTAGTAAGAGTCAAAAGTTAAAATATCGAAAAATGGTGAAACACGGGTTCAAAGTTTTCGAAAAAGTTACTTTTCGGAATGGGTATGCATTGTCCCCCATGCCCTGGAGGAGGGGGGGGGAGTAGAATAAGGGTGGAAAATATTAAATGACACTATGGGTCGAGTGGGGACTCATTTAAAAGGGCTTTTCAAGACGAAAACAATGACTTTTGAAAATGTTTACTACGACCTTCCAGTCAAAAGTTATGATCATCTAAACCAAAATGTGGGAGGTCGTTAAAATATTTAATCAGCTAATGATAGAGGTGAAAAAGAATTCTTTATTTCGACATTTCAAAAAAGCCTTTGTGCATCAAGTACTATGCAATAATGTTAGAAATTATTGGTTTAAACAATTAACAGTCGCCATATTGGATCCGTCATTTTGAATTTTGCAATTTTGACAACAGATTCGAATTCAGCAGTCCAAAAAACCTTAGGATACCAAATTTTATGCAAATCTGTTGAAAATTATTAGAGTTATTTAAAAATGTACATTAGGGTGTAGTGAAAAAACATTTTTTTTTATTTCGATATTGGCCCGGTGCGGAAAATGTTGTACTAGTGATGCTTATCAACTGGGTAAAATTTGATTTTGATCAGACTTCATCTTCAGTTTCCACAGTGACCTCAAAATTTCGAAAAATGTGCAAAAATAGGCAACTTGCAATACATGGTGGAAGTTACACGCTCGAGTCCTGCTGACACCAAAGAGATAAGAAACTTCGAATCAAGGAAAAATCCTGCAATAAATAGAGAATAGAAGCCTTGTCCCAGATCTCAACAAGACGCTGAGCGACAATCTCCGATATGTCATTTACTGCAGGATTTTTCCTTGATTTCTGAGTTTCAATAATATTGTTACGTTCCCATAGAACGTAATGAATCGGCCGATCAATTTCAGAATAATGTTCACTTACACAAAATAAAGAACACTTCTTAACAAAATAAGAACTTTAATAGAACTTAACTACAATATTCGCAACCAAAACCGATTAATACAAGAGAGCTGTCAATACGCGTCCGCACAATTTGACAGCTCCTCCAAAACTGACTGACTAACGTTGTTTACAAACAAGCGTCTCCTTAGAAACAAATCTTCTACTCTTTCTATAAAACTGACAGACTAACGTTATTTACAAATAAGCGTCTCCCTGAAGACGAATCTTCTGCTCTCAATGAGACGAAATACAGGGACGCAACACTAT